GGAGGTTGTGCCGGCTTTGTTGGGCTAGGGCTTCAGGGTTTAAGGTTTCCGGGCTACGCGGGTAGGGTTGCTTCTGAAATAAGCCCGACGGACCCAGAGCTTATAGGGCTTGGGAATCCAGAATGGAGGGCGCAGGAAGCCTGCTTAACCCCTAACCCCCAAAAACCCCTGAAACCCCTAAACCCCTAAACACCTAAAACCCCTAAACCCCTAAAACCCCTTAAACCCCTTAAACCCCTCAAGCCCCTAAGCCCCTAAACCCCTGGACCCCTAAACCCCTAAACCCCTAAAACCCCTAAACCCCTAAACCCCTAAACCCCTAAACCCCTAAACCCCTAAACCCCCTAAACCCCCTAAACCCCCTAAACCCCTAAACCCCTGACCCTCAGGAGGGCGGTCCACATCGATGCTGCCACGCTTGGCCGCGCCACGCCCGGCGCCGACGGATCCTTCGCCTGGCGCCGCGGTCGACACAGTTTGCAGTTTCAGGTGATGGATTTAGGGCTTAGGGTTTAGGGTTTAGGGTAGGACGTTTCAGGCTAAGGTTTAAGGTACCGTGGCACCCTAAATCCTACAGCCTCCTTTAGTTGAGAGCCCGCCCTATACCATAAGCCCCATAATTGCACCCCGGGCTAGACCTCTCCAGCCTACTAGTAGAGTAGGTAACCTTTAACCTTTTTGGGGTAGTATAATCCCCTTATAATCCCAAAGGTTAACCTTTAATTCCCCCAGGCTACTGGACAACGAAGCCAGCTTGCGTGCTGGAGAAAGAAAACAAACATACTCGAGGCAGGACGGATAACAGGCCAGCCGCCCGAACCGAGTTGTAGCCCTAAACCCTAAACCCTAAACCCTAAACCCTAAACCCTAAACCCTAAACCCTAAACCCTAAACCCTAAACCTTAAACCCTAAACCCTAAACCCTAAACCCTAAACCGAAAAGAAGCCCGGGCCAAGTGAACTGGCCCCCTTCTTCGTCGAGTCAGGCCTCCTTTCGTGGCTGAATATGTGGCTCTGCCCATCGATGAGGCCTTGCCTGTAAGCCCTACAAACCCGACGAACCCGCTAAGCGAAAGCCTGCTATAGGGGTCGGAATAGCTATATACGATTCCCTTATGGTCCCTATGTATTTATACTGCAATAACAAGAACCCCCCAAAACCCTGTCTTAATCATTAAGGCCCTATATTACATCCTATAAACCCTAGGATAACTTTTTTGTCGGCTTTGGCGTGGCTGTCCCTGTAGGAGGTGTGAACCCTAAACCCCCTAAACCGCTACACCCTGAACTCTAACGCTGCGTCGTTGTTTGCCAAAGACTGTGTCGGAGTAAGCGCTATGAACCCTAAACCCTAAACCCTAAATGAAAGCTGCACTTGAGGATCCGCCAAGCAAACGCGGAGACTGACAGAGCAGCGCGCCGCGGCATCGCAGGCTCCAGCTACATCCAGTTGTCTATGCTGAGGGCTGTTGCCCCTAAACCCTAAACCCCAAACCCCAAACCCTAAACCCTAAACCCCAAACCCCAAACCCCAAACCCCAAACCCCTGTCCTTGGATCCAAAACCCCAAAACCGAAGTCCTTCCGGTTTGGAGCGTGAAAGGTTATATTGGACATGGACCTTGCCGGACTAACAGCTCAGTTATTGACTTTAAACTACTGGTTCTAAATACCTCATTTATATATTACTCCTCGCACGGGGGAGATCAAGCCTATCTGACGAATATCCCTAAACCCTAAACCCTAAACCCTAAACCCTAAACCCTAAACCCTAGCCCTAAACCCTAAACCCTAAACCCGAAACCCTAAACCCAATTTATAGCACAGGCCAGACGGAGGAGCTCATCGATGCCCGCGGCTTCGTGCTGGAGGCTAATACATCCTCAAAAACCGAAGCGCTTTCTGGGGTTTAGGGTTTAGGGTTTAGGGTTTAGGGTTTAGGGTTTAGGGTTTAGGGTTTGGGTTTGGGGGACCTTAGCTATTAACGATGAGAAGGGTTGAGAGTTTAGCGTTAAAAAGGTTTAGGAAGCCTTGAACTACTTGAACCCAAGCATTGTGGTTGTTTCTCTCTCCCTTCCCATTCCCTCCCATGGGCATCCGAAGCTATAGCGCCCTCATACCTCATATACATCATGCCGTACATTCCCATTCCCGGAGAAACCCTACAGCCCTGAGATTGTGAGCCCTGAGGCCTTGTTTTGTGGCCGCGATCCCCAAAAGATTGCCTGGTGGGGCAAGTGCTGTCCGACAGCACGGGTCCGAGCCTTGTGCAAGCTAGACCGCCGCCAGATGGAAACCATGGAGACGAAGCTGCGGGAGATCCTGGACAACTACGGCGTGGACAAGCTCGCCGCAGTCGCAGCTGACTCCTACCTGAAAGCGCGCGTGGTCTTCTTCTGCAGGGCTGCAGACGCTCTCTCGCGACTGGCAAGCGCGGAGGATCCGGAGCAGCGGTCCGCAGACGTGGAAGAGAAGCTTGCCGTGGCAGAGCAGAAGTTGCGCCAAGTGGTTCTTGCTTCGGGTTTCACTGCTCTCCCCCGAGTCCGTAGAGACAATGTCAGCCCTCTAGATTTAGGGTTTAGGGTTAGGGTTTACGGTTTAGAGCCCCAAGCCCCAAAGTAACCCCAAAGCCTGGTAGTCCCTTAATGAAGCCCTGAACCCTAGCAAGCCGAAGCCCGATCTTCCTTCTGGACTCTTGACCTTGGGATCTACAGCGCCACCCCTCGCTCCCCTGTTTGTTGCTTAACCGTATTTTACATTTGCCGCTGTTTGCTCCCTTGGGGAACCTAAATCCTGAAGTTGCAGAATCTGTCTTCAAATCGGGACCCTAAACCCTAAACCCTAAACCCCAAACCCTAAAACTCCTTGATCGATACTCTAAACCCTAAACCCTAGCGCTAAACCCTAAGCCCTAAGCCCTGAACCCCAGCCCTAAACCCTAGCCCTAAACCCCAAACCCTAAGACTCCTTGATCGATACTCTAAACCCTAAACCCTAGCGCTAAACCCTAAGCCCTAAGCCCTGAACCCCAGCCCTAAACCCTAGCCCTAAACCCTAAACCCTAAACCCTATAAACCCTAAATTCCCAAAACGCCCTGCAGGGCAAGTCAGTGCTGCTGCGGCATGTGTCGTCCTCCCTCGCGGGCACGAGGTGGCTCGGGCGATGTGGTCGACAGGGCTTAAGGTCCTTTTTGCGGGGTGTAGGGTTTGGGCTTTACGGGGTCTAAGGGTTTTTGTTTGGGGTTTTGGGGTTTTATGGGTTGTGCGATCTTTTTTGGGGGGTTTATGGGGTTTGTGGGGGTTTATGAGGTTTTGGTGTTAAAGCTTAAAGTGTAGGGTTGAGGGGGGCCGGCAGACGAGGCTGGTGTCGCCCAGCATTGGCTCCTGGCCCACCGCGGACAGCTGGATGCCGGATTTGCGCTGTGAGTCGAAGGCCGCAGCAAGGCTTTTTGGGGGTTTCCTATAATTGGGGTGCTACAACCTAACCCTAAACCCTAAACCCTAAACCCTAAACCCTAAACCCTAAACCCTAAACCCTAAACCCATTTTACCCCCAAATATAGTAGCCTTTTAACAACGGACCTCTAGGAGGGGACTCCCTATGTTCGTTAAACCCCAGTTGAATTGTTTTGTGCTCGGTGGTTCTGGGTTCAGGGCTTGGGGGTTTTAGGGTTTAGGGTTCAGGGCTTCTATGGTTAGCGGTTTAGGGTTCAGGGCTTCTAGGGTTAGCCCAAGACCCAAAATGATCCGAAGACAACATGTTCACCGAAAAGGGCTTCTTCGCTGCTTAGAGATCCGCATTGAGGATTCAGGGGTGTAGGATTTGTTGTTCTTGGTCTGGCCCAGGGCTTCCATCATACATGCCATGAGGAGAGTCTCAGTCGGGAGTTTTGTGTTTGCTTCTTCAGGGTTGGTACGCTAAACCCTCTGCACTCTATCAACCCTGCGCACGCAAGCTCGCAAAACCCAACGGAAGAGCAGATTCAGGCCCCAGTATAGAAAACTCCGGGGAGGGCCCTAAACCCTAAACCCTAAACCCTAAACCCTAAACGCTTAAGTGGCACCACCTCTCTGCTGGAGTACGGCACTTGCTCAGAACTCTGGGAGACCCCAGCTGGCGAGGTTGTTTCGGCTAAACCCTGAGGCAACCCGTAACCCTAGAGAACACAGGAAGATCCTAAACCCTAAGCCCCGAAACCTTACCCGAAAACTCTGAACTCTACAGGGCAGAAGGCCGCACCTCAAAGCAAGAGAACAACCCAGAGAGCCCAATACCCCTTAAGGATTACACCTTAAACTAGATCGGAACTTACTTTGTGGTACTTTACCGTTACTTTAGATCCTTACCCTTTTGGGGTTCATTGGGTTTCTTAATAAGGCAGCTAAACGTTTAATTTATAGCTGCCCTCCTGAGTGCAGCCAAGTTTAATATGATTAACCGCATGTTCCTTCAAGGGCAGTGGGCTCCTTGGGGAGGAAACCTTGGCAGAGGTTGATCCAAATTGGGTTTAGGGTTTAGGGTTGGGGTTTAGGGTTTAGGCTTAGGGTTTAGGGTTTAGGGTTTAGGGGTTAGGGGTTAGGGGTTTAGGGTTTAGGGTTTGGGCTCCGAGCCCCAAAAAAAAAGCCTAGAGCCCCTACAAACCAACCGGACCTGGCCCCATGCTCTTCGAGACGTCAGGCCCCAGTTTTCGAACAGAAAACGGTGCTCGACGCGGCGGAGGACCAGGGTTTAGGGTTTAGGGTTTAGGGTAGGGCGGTCACGAAGTAGGTTTTGGCGGCTTTGGGGTTGTGAGGGTTTAGGGTTTGGGGTCTGAAGGGTTTTTAGCTTGAGGGTTTTCAGGAACGGGCCTCTGGGATATCTATTATGTGCTTTCTCCCATTGGGTTTAAGGAGATTGTATGAGGGTTTTAAGGGCCAAGCTGCTTAGGGTTCGGGGTCTTTAGGGTGGTGACGTTGAGGGTTTTGGGTTTCGGGCTTTTGGGGTTGAGGGCTCCCTATTTAGGCTAAGCACCTTAACCCCTGAACCCCAACCTCAAAGGCTTCTTCCATCAGACTTCAACCTCGAACCCCAGGACTACTGCAAACGGGGCTTCCGCGTGGCAGCAGCAGCATGGACCGGACTATAAACCCTAAACCCTAAACCCTAAACCCTCAACCCTAAACCCTAAACCCTAAACCCTAAACCCTAAACCCTAAACCCTAAACCCTAAACCCTAAACCCTAAACCCTAACCCTTTTAAACCCTAAACCCGAAGCCCTGTCATCCCTCAACCTTAAACTCTAAACTCTAAGCCCTAGCTTAGGCTTCCGGGATAGGGGGTTTAGGGTTTAGGGTTTAGGGCTTAGGATTTCGGGCCTGCACATTTCACTTAAAACAGTCGCTTTTCTATGGCGCTGAGGAGTTGCCACCTTTACTTCAAGGCTTCTTTGCTTGGTTGGGAATCGCTCAGGCTAAGCCCTATGGATCCCCTGAAGCCCTAGACCCCAAACCCCCCCCTCATGAAGAACTCTTTGGGGGGCCGGTGTCTACAGTTCAGGCCCTTGTGCTTTGCGCAGGGCTTGGGGGCTTTGAATTCTCAGTTGGGGTTCGGGATTCCCACGCCCTAGCCCTGATGTCCAGAGCTCAGAACTCCAGAGTGTTCTTGTGATCAGACGGCCAATCCTTCCGCTGTAGACCATACTTTCGCTTTTGGTCCTTATCACGCAGGTTTCAGGCTGTCTGCTCCAAGTTTCGGCTGTGGATATGTCCTTAGGCCCGTAAACTTTAAACCCTAAACTCCTTCGAACCCTACATCCTAAACGCCAATCCCATCGGGGCTGCAGGGGCCACTGTGCGTGAAGACCCTTCTTGAACAGCAGGGGGGAGGGAGGTTGAGAAAAACACCTGCGTGTGTGTGTATATATATGTATGTATGTACATATATATATATGTATATATATATATATGCATACTGGCCCATACTAAGGGCCCATGTAACTACCCTAAGAGATTCCTTGCGAAAGAAAGGCCCTTACAAGAGACCCAAATCTTGAACAACCCCCAGCCTCCCCCCCCCCCCCTCCGTCAATGAGAATCCGAAGTCAAGTCTTCAACAACCCTAGACCCTAAACCCTAGACCCTAAACCCCTAAACCCCTAAAACCCTGAGCCCCTAAACCCGAAGCCCTTGACAACTGTTGGAGCCATTCAAAGCGCCCAAGGTGAATGCTGCCTCGGCTTACCACGCGGGCGGCGGCTTCGCCACTGGAGGTCGGCATGCACTGGAGGAGATCCCTAAGGTTTAGGGCTTAGGGTTTAGGATTTAGGGTTTAGGGTTTAGGGTAACTGGGACCCAGAGTCGGCCCTTACTCCCTTCTTTAGAGTGTAGGTTCCCTCAGGATGCCTTTCAAACCAAGAAGGGCACCCTTCTGATGCCTAGGTTACTCCTGGGTCTAAGAGACGAATCGCTTCAAGGATTGGGCTTACAGTAAACTCCAGAAAGTGAGAACATGGTTTACCCTAAACCCTAAACCCTAAACCCTAAGAGCTGGGACTCCCTCTAGTATACCTTTTGGGGTAGGGGCACAAGAGCGTTCCAACTTTTCGGAGTACGATGTAGGGGTGTGAGATTCGGTTCTCGGGTTTAGGGTGCACATCCTGGGAGACCAGTGAACCTTTGAAGTCTGGGTTTAGGGTTTAGGGTTTAGGCTTTAGGGTTTTGGGGTTAAAGGTTTAGGATTTAGGGTTTAGGGTTTAGGCTTTAGGGTTTAGGGGTTAAAGTGTTGTTATTGCCAGCGTTCACTATCAATGCCAACGTCTTTGCAATGGCAAGGGGGGGGGAATCTGATCCCAATCTCATCTCAGTGCGCAGAGATCCTGGCCCCTCTCGACACGCCCAAAATGACCTTGACCACGCATCTTGCACATCCTTGCCGCACTAACGTGTTGAGGACACGGGCACTACCCGAGGTTTCGGGTCTGGTTGGAGTTTATTTGGGGATATTTGGGGTGTTACGCAGCTTACGGTGAAAGTTAAGCCAATGAACAATTCCCGAACCGTCCCCGGAAGCCTCTTAAGCAAAAAAACATGGGATCCTACATAACCCGAGCCCTTACTACCCTTGCCGAACACAAGATGGAGCAAGTATAGAACCCCATATCTGACTCCAGATCCTAGCGAGCCATAAGCGGTTCGATAGTCATTCTGGACATCGAGCACTTTGTGCGCGTTCAATCCAAATCTTCGCGAAGTTCGCTTCAGTCGTGAAGAGCTCTAAAGAAATCAGCAAACTTTTTTTCTAAAGGGTCGCAAGCGCTAAACCTTACCTTGATTCCCAACCCAATAGTTCGTAACTCTCGTGTAAGCTTTCACGACATGTATGTCCTACCACTGCTTGCTATAGCGATAGTCAACTAGGATCCCCATGTAAATCCCAACCTCGGTAGGTCCTTGGGATATGTTAAAGGTCCATCAGTTTTTGGGTTTGAGAGGATCGTATTCAGGCATAGGGCTTTAAGGGCCATCCTCGTAGCTATGCGCCTGAGACGCCTTGAACCCTAAACCGTGTTTTCAGAACGCTTTTGTGACTCACGGCAGCATATTCGGAGCAACTGCCTTTTGGGGTCACAACCTTAAGGGTACCAGTCGACGCCGAGCTTTTGCCGCCTTAGAGAAGAGGGTTTAGTCTCGGGTTTATAGGGTTTCGGGCTTAGGGTCTAAGACCCAGAGTAGGCTCTTATTCTCTTGTGTTACGGTGTAGGTGCCTTTATACTTCCCTTCAAACCAAAAAAGGACACCCTTGTTATTCCTAGGGTACTCCTGGGTCACCTAAACCCTAAACCCTAAGCCAGAAGCCCTAAACCCTAAACCCTAAACCCTAAACCCTAATCCCTGAACCGTTACTCCTAGGTTACTAGGGGTTTAGGGTTTTGGCGCCTGCCGGAGATGGCCCCGGGCTGCGGAACAGGAGTCGATGTGCATTCAGAGTACGCTCTTCCCCTCCTTGCAGTATGGGGAGAAGCTGGCCAAGGAGGTGGCGGGTTTAGGGTTTAGGGTTTAGGGTTCAGGGTTTAGGGTTTAGGGTTTAGGGTTCAGGGTTTAGGGTTTAGGGTTTAGGGTTCAGGGTTCAGGGTTCAGGGTTTGGGCTTGGGCGTCTTCTAACCGGGGAACTGGAAACCCCAAACTGGGCAGAAACCCGGACAGACATGTTTAGCAAGCACGAGGACCAAATGAAACCCACAACTGGGATCAGTTTATCCCATGCCTAGACCCTAAACCCTAAACCTTAAACCCCCTATATCCAGGCCCAAATTCTTGAAACCCCATCTGCCCTGAACTTTAAACAGGGTTCAGGGTTTAGGGTTTTACTACGGTTTTGCGACGTGAGTTGTTTTGATCCGGGGGCACCCACAAACCCCAAAACCAGTACCCCTTGGGCTCTAAAAGCCCTAAACCCGAACCCTACCTAACTTAAGCCTTACTTCTAAGTATATGGGGCATATATGGGGTCCCCATCTTTAAGGGCCCATACTAAGGGACCATGTACCAAACCTTGCACCCTAAACCTTAAACCCTAAGGGGCCCATCACCTAACGTGAAGGCCGGCGTCTCAAGTCCCAGCTTCGTGCCTCCGCGACGCGATGGCACGCCATGGAGCCTTGGCTGAGGTGACCGGTTTAGAGGTTTGGGGTTTAGGGTTGGGGTGTCAGGATGTATGGGTTTAGGGTTTCGGGTTTAGGGTTGAGGGTTTAGGGTTCAGGGTTTAGGGTTTAGGGTTGCGGTGAAGGATGCCGCACCTGCCAGCCGACGGAGTTCTTCTCTCGCCCTTCGTGGAGGCGCAGGGCGCAACTCTAGCTGAGCCTCAAGGCTTACCCAAAGGTCCTATGTGGTACCCTTATGGGGGTAGTATACTAGAATCTCCTATAGCTAACCCAAGAAGGAACTACATTGGAGCAGCCTGAAGGTTTAGGTTTCAAAACGCGACACCCTGTACCCTCAGCCTTGAACCCTCATAGTTTCAATTGCTGTTTGGTTTTAGGGTCTGGCAGTTTAGGGTGTTTGGCAAATATCTGAAAGGAGATGGGTGTGGGTTTACTATGGGACAAAGCCTGACCATTCCCAGGAGATGCCATTCTTCGAAGACCCTAATCAAAAGGCGGGAGAAAACGACTTCCCTACACCTTGAACCTTACACTGTGAAACCTGATTCAACTGGTAGGTTTAGGGCGGGGTGGGCGGGGGCGGGGGGGGGGGGGGGGGCGGGGGGGGGGGGGGCGGGGGCGCGGGGGGGGGGCGGGGGGGGTGTGGGGGGCGGGGGCGGGGGGGGGGGGGGCGGGGGTGGGGGGCGGGGGGGGCGTAGGCTGTAACGGCCTTTGAGGGCCTCTGTTTTGTATGCCCTAAACCCTAAACCCTAAACCCTAAACCCTAAACCCTAAACCCTAAACCCTAAACCCTGCTATTGTATAGTGCAGGGCACCAAGATGGGCCCTTTAGACCCCCAGGCGCATGATTTTCATTCCCCGTGGCTTGAAGGTTCGCGGCTTAGGGTTTCGGGTTTAGGGTTTATGTTTCAGGGTTTTTGGGGGCTACCCCCGTCTAGTTCCCCCCTTAACTAACCTTAACTAGGCTTATTCCCTAAACAGCCTTACCTATGGGGGAACCTTGTAGGGGTAGTATAGAGGGGGGTAGTACCCCTAAACCCCAAACCCCAAACCCCAAACCCCAAACCCCAAACCCTAAACCCTATAGAGGGGGGTAGTAGGGGAACTTCGAGATGCCAGGTCTTCCGCCGCGGCACGAATGAAGGCTACCCCTTCATGGCTGAGCCTTACACGCTCCAGGCCGTTTAGGGTTTAGGGTTTAGGGTTTAGGGTTTAGGGTTTAGGGTCTAGGGTTTAGGGTTTAGGGTTTCATCTTCAAGAGAAGGGGTGCGGGGTTCAGGATTCAATGCGCAATGTGAGTGCCCTGCGTGGTGTGATGCAAGGCATTTTTGTTGGTGATTCTGGCGGTTTCTTTGTCCACCCGAAACCACGGTGTCTAGCTGCTGATTGACATAAACTGCACGACTTTAGTCGTTTTCGGTTGCTTACTCTGCCCACTGCGTTCCCCGGGGTTTGTGCAAGTGACAGTCGGGGCCTTTTGGTGTTTTAGGGTGTAGTGCTGCAAGATGCAGGAGTCTCAGCATAAGAGTCTCAGGGTTGAGCATCCGGGTTTCAGTTGCGCGGACGCATATTGAGCGCGCCTAAGAATGTTGAAGCACATTTTTTCAGAACCTGGAGACCTGAGCCAATCGGTTTATTGGTTTTTTGAAGAAGGATATGCTGGAGTCAGCAGATGAGCCCCCAAGCATTTCGGGCCTTTAGGGCCTCCGGGCTTCTCCCGAAGTGCCTTCGTCAGGGATCGAGCAACGTGTCGTCATTGGAGTCATAGACCCAGGCCGGGAAACCAGCCTAGGCTGGTTTCCAGCCTGGGATTCCACAACCGCCTCGCGGTGTGGTGTGGGGGGGACCTTATGAGGATGCCCCTTAACCCTGAACACCAAGCCCCAAACCCTAAGCCCTGAAATCTTGAGCCCCAAACCATATAAAATCCCATAAATCTTATAAACCCTGAGCCCTAAAAAATCCGATAAGTCTTTAACAAAACCCCAAAACAGGCCGTCGTGTCGGTTGCCATGCCAAACCGCAACCCCTCGATGAGCGACTCACCAGTTGACGCGCCGTCGGACCCGGTTGAGTATGCCGAGGCCTTCAGCGGCTACAGGGGAAGGGCATGGGGCTTCGGGTTGAGATTGAGATGGGGGGGGGGACCAGATGAACCCCAAAATTGGGATCTTGTGCACCCTTTTTGAGGTAAAGGGATCCTAACCCCTTCACCGGGCCTACTTCGAACCCTTCAAGGCGGGCACGGAAACACATGAAGGGCCCGTGAAACTACCCTAGCAAGAAACCAAGCGACTTGACAAACCCTACATCCTAATCGTTGTTGCCTAGGATACTTGCAACCCAGGCATGTTGCCAGGAACGCTAAGACCTGACAAACCCTGAGAGCCATCTCAGGGGCTGCTTCTTATGGTCAGTGTTTAGGCTTTGAAGGGCGTGTCCCCCACCACCATGCAATGCCCTGCATTCAACTGATAAGCCTCACGGACCTGAACCAGCCTGAACCCTGACCTTGGAGAGTGTTTGGGGTTTAGATGGGTTTAGGGTTTGGGGTTTTTCAGGTCCGCACGCCTAATTAGACTCTAGTAAGTGTTGTGTGATCGTCGTAGGAGCATGCGAGTTTCCTGTTTTTAGGGTTCCTTTGGCGCCGAAGGTGGCAATAACGTTCTACTCCAGACGTAAGTGAGACTGCCAGGCATTAAAATCTCGATGGCGCGCGACGCTCGTGGCCGCCAAGGAGGCCGACAGAAGAAGAACAGTAAAGTAAGGGTCGGAAAAATTAGTAATATTATTTCCTAACTACCCGGCACAGCAAGGTTTGCATGGTCCCCAATCACCCACCCTTCCGGGCCAACTTTACCACGTAGTTAGTGGCGTATCACCTTTTACGTTGTATGGCGCAGGTAGGTGGGTTTAGGGTTTAGGGTTTAGGGTTTAGGGTTTTTGGGATTTAGGGTTTAGGGTTTAGGGTTGACAGTCGTTTCCAAGCCCTAAACCCTGAACGCTAAGCCTAGCATCCCGGCCTTCTCTCTGGCGCGGGCCCCTAAGGTTGTACCCTTGGGTTTGGAGACCCTTTATATAACGATCTTCTAAGGGAATGTAAGGGCGATATTTGGAGTAGATTAAGGGAACCTCTAAGGGGTACATCCTTGAGGTTATTAAGGGAACCTCTAAGGGGTGCATCCTTACGGCTACGAGTCTGAATCCCTTGACAGTAAGTAGCGAAGACCTGCCCCGAGCCGGCTGTGGAAGGTCAACGCAGACTGCGTGATTCTGCCCGACGCCGGCTGCGGCGTCTTCAAGAATGATCCAAAGGCCTCTCCCACTTTCCTGGGTTGAGGCTGTTCCGGAGTTCTGCGTTCATACCCCTAAACCCGAAACCCTAAACCCCTAAGCCACGAAACCCTAGACCCCTAAACCCCGAAACCCCTAACCCTAAACCCTAAGCCCTAAACCCTAAACCCTAAACCCTAAACCCTAAACCCTAAACCTACTGCAGCTGGAGAGGGTAGGCCAGCAGGTGCGCGCGGGCAATGCCAAGCTTGCGAAGGTTTCGGGGTCTAGGGTTCCCCGCGTCAAGAGTATAGGGTTTAGGGTTTGGGGTTTAGGGTTTAGGGTTAAGGGTTTGGGAGTTTGGGGGTTTGGGGTTTAGGGTTTAGGGTTTGGGGTTTAGGGTTTAGGGTTCGGGGTTTAGGGTTCCAACCTCTTGGTCCAGCACCACGCTGTCCAAGGGGCCCTGAACTTCTGTAAGCCCGTACAGCCCTAGACCCTTCTGACCCCAGCAACCTAGGGTTTAGGGTTTAGGGTTTAGGGTTTCGGGTTTAGGGTTGAGGGGGTAGGGTTTAGGGTGTAGGGTGTAGGGTTTAGGCAATCATCAAACCCCAAATTTCTCTCAAAGGCTGTCGGCGCTGCACTGGGCGAAATGCTCTGCCTCTTGGGCGGCGCTTTCGTCCGAGACCCAGCTTTTCACGACCTCGAGCAGCGAGATTGAGTTGTAGGGCTCGGGCTTCTCGAGGTTTAGGGTTTAGGTTTTAGGGTTTAGGGTTCAGGGTTTAGGGTTTTAGGGTTTTAGGGTTTTAGGGTTTAGGGTTTAGGGTTTAGGGTTGCTTGGGAGCCCGAGAGTGGGAATCATCGCCTATTGAAGTGTGTGGACCATAGAACCTTATCTACTTAGGTCATCACATCTTTCAGTCCATCTCCTGCAGCTGGATGTACAGTTGGCCCCCTGAATCCTCAACCCCAATGAAGAGTCCATACCGAAACTCTAACATCGCAGAGTTTGGAGGATCGGGTGGTCATCGCCTCCCCGGTGCCTGCCGGCAGAGTTTGTGCTGAGGCCGCGGCGCAGGCCCTCTCGGGCTAGGGTATGGGGTTTGAAGGGGGGCGGGAGGGGATACTTAACCCCACGAGCCTCAGCTGTCTGCGCTGAAGAGTTCCTTCCAACACATCTTGAGCTGCCACCCGCCAACATGGTAGGCAGGCATGTCGACCCAGCAACTCTGCTTGCTATCACCCACATACTACCCGAAGCTCTAAACCCTAAACCCTTTCTAGCAAGACCTACTGCCCTGTGCGTGTTAGGGTCTTAGTCTTTCGGGGTTTGTGTAGGGAAGACCATGCACACATTCCAGTATGCGGAAGCCCCTGAGCAACAGAATTTCCAGGAAGCAGGTTTAGGGTTAGGTTTTCGGGTTAGGGTTTAGGGTTTATTCAGGGTTGAGGGCCTAAGGATCCCAGGCCCTAAGGGAAAGCAGAAGCATGCCGGCACATGCCTATGACCTGTAAACCTGAAGCCCTTACGACCCCAAACCCCCAACTCTCCCTAAATCCTGTAAGCTGCACGAAGTGTCCCTAGTAGACCGTTTTTCTCAGAAAGGCAGGCCGTACCTTTTCTCCGCCTAGCTTGCCTTTCATTCTATAGTGCACCGAATTCCCTCATTCCCTACTTGGAGGTTCATGGCACTTATTGACCAACCATCACGATACCTATACCCCGCTCATAAGCCCCTCAAGTGCCCTAATATGGTTATAAGTTACAAGTGCAGTTACAAGTACAGTTACAATTGGTGAATAAGTACCATGAACCCCCCTTCAGCCCCCCTTTCCCCCCAAGGCCCCCCCCCCCCCCTGGAGCCCCCCTCAAGCCCCCCCTTAAGCCCCTCATCCCCTACCCTGAACCAGAAGCAGGCCATGGACCCCAATCCACAGCTACCCGTCCCTGAGCCAACGTCTCCCAGAGCCTCAGCAAGATTTAAGGGGTGTATGGGGTTTAGGGGTTCAGGGGTTCAGGGGTTTAGGATTGTAGGGGTTTAGGGGTTCAGGGGGATTCAGGGGGTTTTGGGTTAGGAGGGCTGAGGGGCCTTGGGTTGAGGGTTTGGAGCTGGGGGGCTGATACTTCAACTCCCTGTGAGACAAGGCTGCTGGGGCAGAGCCTGAACCTAAAGCCCGAAAACTCCCAAGTAGTCGGACAGGGAGAGGGGGTGGGGGGAGGCGACGTTTCTAAGTTCGGGAGTTTATAGACCCTAAACCCTAAACCCTAAACCCTAAACCCTCAACCCTAAACCCTAAACCCTAAACCCTAAACCCTGACAAGGCGGCCCTTCCTGGCTCTTTGAAACCGGCCACGGTTTCCATCCCTTCTTCGAGGAAGCGGCTATGCTGGGGCCGGGGCGAGGGGTTTAGGGTTTAGGGCTTAGGGGTTTAGGGTTTAGGGGTTAGGGGTTTAGGGTTTAGGGGTTTAGGGTTTAGGGTTGAGGGGAGGAAGGGAGGAGAGGGTTGTGGTTTAGCTTTGGGCCTGCAAAGGTCTAGCGAGGGCATGGATTCTGATTAAGGTTCGGTACCGTATATCCCCATCTGTGTACCGTTCAGGAAGTCTAGGTGTAGGGCCTGCCCAGCATGTCGAAAGGGCGGTTCAGTCGCGGTTTAGGGTTTAGTGGTCAGGGTTTCTTGGGTCTGAGACTGGGTAGAAGTCATGTCATCTTCTTGGGCACTGTTAAACCCTCTTAAAACTCAAAGATTAGCTTACTTCTTTTTGGAAAGTGAGTCCCCAAACCCGAAACCCTAAGCACGAAAGCAATTTTTTTTGGGGGGAGGGGGGTTAGCATATATCGGGGGTACCTTATTGGGGTCCTGATTATAAGGGGATCCTACTATTTGGGGGGTCTCTAGTTTCCCCCCTAAACCCTAAACCCTAAACCCTAAACCCTAAACCCTAAACCCCTAAATCTGCAAGGACTGCCAGGTCGTCCTGGAGCAGAAGTACCAGCAGTTCAGGCATGGAGGCCCCGGCAAGCACCCAAGGGCTCCATCGGAAACGCGCCCAAAAAAGGGACTAACGATCCACACACACCCCCCTGTATATATATATATATATATATATATGAGTGTATATATATATATATGTATATACACATCCATATATATATATGTATATATATATATACATATGGGGTTTGGGGCTTAGGGCATGTACGTTATTGTGGCTCTTCACGTTAGTATTGGTTTGGTCCCGAAGGTGCGGGCGCGCGTGTGGTTTGAGGATGTTTAGGGCTGAGGGGTCGTAGGATCTTGATCGATCTTCGCATCGGAGCGTGGATCACGTCTTTCTATGTTGGAAGGCTGGGCACGTATGATCCCTAAACCTCACTTCCTTAGCCGGTTTCATTCGCTTTTTGGGCAAATAACGGCACCCGGCAAATCGCACCAGCGCGCCGCCGCGGTCTTCTCGTAGCACAGCAGAACAAGCAGTTGCTTGGGGTTACCCTAAACCCTAAGCCCGAAACCCCAAGCCCTGTGAGGTTCCACAGCCCAGAAAATTGGGTTCTTAGCGCAGTAGCGGTTTCATGGTCAACACGCATGTGCTTCCCAGCGCAGGATTTGGTTAGGGTGTAAGGCTTGCCCAGTTTTCGGGCTTAGGAGTTTAGGGTTTAGGGCTTGGCTCCACGAAAAGCAGGTCAACGGCTCCGAACCTCAATGGAGAGCAGAATGAGCCATGAAAGGGTAAGGGCTGATGGTCCATACTTTTCAACCCGGTGAAGAAGAAGGGACTATTGGACTGATGCACCTGCAGCCTTCCACCATGGCCCTAAACCCTAAACCGTAAACCTTAAACCCTAAACCCTAAACCCTAAACCCTAAACCGAATCATTGGAGGCGCTGGGTCACGGATTTCCGTGATTTTTACCTCACCCTCACCTTTGCCCCAGGTCAACTACAGAGTTCCAACTCTCTCGAGCCCAACACCCCCTCTTGAACCCCCCAAAAACCCCCTGAAACCCTAACCCTAAACCCTAAACCCTAAACCCTAAACCCTAAACCCTAAACCCTAAACCCTAAACCCTAAACCCTAAACCCTAAACCCTAAACCCTAAACCCAGAGCTGTGGGAGCATGTGGGAGCCAGAGGAATCACGAGCCCCCAAAAGTCCAAGAGGCCCATCGCAAGTCTGGGTCTCTTCCGCTGGCAAGAACATCAAAGTGGACTTTCAGCCCCTTGGCGGTTTATAGGCAATTAGGGCTTAGGGCTTAGGGATTAGGGCTTGGGGCTTAGGGCTTAGGGCAGTGGGGGAGTAGGGAAGCCCAAAACTCTATAGGGCCGGATTTGGGGTTCAAGTGGTGTAGTATAGAAGGCAATATGGGTTGGTCTTCGGGGTTTGGTTGAATAGTGGTTGAATAGCAGAGTAAGATAGTAATATAATAGTTCGGTGATTTCATCATATAATTGTACGATAGTAGAAACTTCGCATAATCGTATAGCAATGTAGATTTCATACCAGAATGCTGAGAGCATAGGGCTTGGCGGGTTTCATGTTTTCGGGGTTCCGCCTCACGGGATTCAGGTGCCAAGCCTGCTGAGTTGTGTGCATCGGTTCATGGTGCGTAGGGCTTCGGGTTCAGGGTGGGAGCTTCGTAAAGACTCCTACATACTTCGGGTTTGGGGGTTAGGGTTAATAAGTTTAGGGTTTAGGGTTTAGTATCTTTCTCAACTATCTGAGGATTTTCTCATGAGCAGAGTTTAAAGTATATCAACCTTACTTAAGGGGCCTACATCCTTACATAAGGTTCAAGGTTTACGCAGGGCTTACACCCTTAACCCAACACCTTAAACCTTAAGCCCTAGAGACCCTGAGCCTTCGCCTCAAAATGGCCCCAAACGCTGTGTCCAGCCCCTCCCCCCTCTCCCCCCAAACAAACAAGAAGACATGATGCAAACAAGGGTTTAGGGTTTAGCGTTTAGCGTTTAGGCTTTAGGGTTTAGGGTTCAGGGTTTAGGGTTTAGGGTGCGAATCCCCAAAGCCTACGCCTACGCCGAGGCACATGGCCCAAGTGGTGGAGGGCTCCACACGCTCACGAGCAGTGCAGCGAATGGAATAGGGCCCCTAAGCCCTAAATCCTAACCCGTAAACCCTCGACCCTCAACCCTAAACCCTAGACCCTAGCCCCCAAAATTGCGCTGGCGCAAAAAATGTCGTGATGAGACCCGAACCTTGAGGATCAGGGTTTTCGGAGGATGGGCAAAGGCTTATGGGGCGTTTTGTACTCAGGCTTATTGCTTACGGCTTGCTTAGGGTTTGGGGTTTAGGGTTATCAAGAACCGTTTTATTTCATTGTATGGTAACATTATTTGGTTTAGGGTTTAGGGTTTAGGGTTTAGCGTTTAGGGTTTAGGGTTAGGGTTTAGGGTTTAGGGTTTTAGTCGTTTAGTGATTTAAGGTAGGCTCTTAGTTGGACCAAGAACCTAGGTTTATGTGCCCTCCGACTGCCCACCTTTAGAGCTCGAGCCCGATCTGAGCCTTTGGTTTTGGGATGTTTTTTGGGTTTGGGGTTTAGGGTTTAGGGTTTTAGGGTTTTAGGGTTTTAGGGTTTTAGGGTTTTAGGGTTTTAGGGTTTTAGGGTTTTAGGGTTTTAGGGTTTTAGGGTTTTAGGGTTTTTAGGGGTTTTAGGTTTTTAGGGTTTTAGGGTTTTAGGGTTTTAGGGTTTTAGGGTTTTAGGGTTTTTAGGGTTTTAGGGTTTTAGGGTTTTAGGGTTTAGGGTGTTTCTGGGGATTAGCAGTACAGGGCTTGAATCTGTGTTGGGAGGTCTGAGGGGGCTCCAGACCTTTTGAGGCTTTATAGATCTAGGGTTGAGGGTGTTTGGAATTCCCGGACCTTCTGGCTTGAGGGGAGTGTCGGTCCAACTACTATTTGCATAAGAACCCCCAAGAAAGGACAATAGTCCCCTAAACCCTAAACCCTAAACCCTAAACCCTAAACCCTAAACCCTTTCTTGACCCCCTTATAAGGAAGAATATTTCGATCTTGTGGAGGGTGCTTCAGCTACTCGTAGTTCAAGGCAAGCCTTCCCAGACGTGGTGCCTAAACCCTAAACCCTAAATCCTAAACCCCAAACCCTAAACCCCAAACCCTAAACCCTAAACCCTAAACCCCAAACCCTAAACCCTAAACCCCAAACCCTAAACCCCAAACCCTAAACCCTACACCCCTCCAAAGCCACAGTTCTGGCTCAGCCCCCGCATCACCGACTCGGTAAGCCCTTGGGACATTTTTGTGTATTTTCCCTTCTTGGGTATAAGAGGGTCATCCTCAACCCTAAACCCTAAACCCTATAAACCCTAAAACCCGAAACCCTAAACCCTAAACCCCAAACCCCAAACCCCAAACCCTAGGAATCTTTTTCAGAGGGTTTTAAGGGGCCATCCTAGCTTACAAGCATCCCGATGGTGCCCCCGGGGCATGGCATCCGGCTGCTTGCCGAGCTCCAAAGCCAAGGACAGAAGTCAGGGTTTAGGGTTTAGGGTTTATAGGGTTTAGGGTTTAGGGTTTAACGTTTAGGGTTTAGGGTTTAGGGTTTAGGGTTTCGGGTTTGGGGGTTAGGGGTGAGGGGTTAGGGGTTAGGGGTTAGGGTTCACGGTTTAGGGTTTAGGGTCCCGAAGGCCTAAACCCCAAACAGGAAGCTTGAACCCCAGAGGGGGTTGAAAGACAGGGTTTAGGGACCTAGGCCCTAAGCCCTCAACCCTCAACAGGAACCCCAAAGGTACCAGACCCTAAACCCTAGACCCTAAATCCCCAAAGCCTAAGCGACCACCTCCTCTCAAGACAGCACCGGACCCCGGAAGAGCTGCACTTGTCTTACTAGCTCGGGGTACCCTCAACAGAGGGTTTAGGGTTTAGGGTTTAGGGTTTCTATACGCCCTGAACCCTAAACCCTAAGCCCTAAACCCTAAACCCTAAACCCTAAACCCTAAACCCTAAACCCTAAACCCTAAACCCTAAACCCTAAACCCTAGACCCAACCGATCAACGCCACAAACCCCAAGCCTACACACACTTGGAACCCGTGCAGGACTCAGGAAGTGCGAAGACCCGGCAGAAACCCATGACTGAAGAGGCCTCTTTCTTAGGGTTTAGGGTTTAGGGTTTAGGGTTTAGGGTTTAGGGTTTAGGGTTTAGGGTTTAGGGTTTAGGGTTTAGGGTTTAGGGAGCTACATGGGGGTTTAGGGAGGGTTTAGGGTAGCTACATGCTTAGTGTGGGCCCTTAATTTGGGAGCCCTTGTCTGCCCCTTATATACTCTATATAGAACCTCAGGGCCCACCCGAAACCCTAAATCCTAAACCCCAAACCCTAGACTCTTGCTGCACGAGCAGCCCTCAGCCCTACAGACCCTCAATCCCAAATGTTTTTTGTGCTCTGGTTCGGTTTCAAGTGCGTAGGCCACCGTTGGGTTCAATGAACCCTAAGGGTTTAGGTTTAGGGTTTAGGGTTTAGGGTTTATTTTGGGTTTAGGGTTTAGGGTTCAGGGTTTAGGGTTTAGGGTTAGTGTTTTGGGTTGAGGGCTGAGGGTTGAAGGTTATTGTACCCCAAGGTTGATGGTTTAGGGCTCCGGCTTTCAGTCTCGCTGGTAGATTTCGGCTGCTACCTGTAAATCCTTGCTGTCCAAGTAGCCCTAAACGCTAAACCCTAAACCCTAAACCCTAAACCCTAAACCCTAAACCCCCTTGTTCAAGTTTATGGTTCAGTTGATGCTCGCACGTCTTCCACCTCATGTGGCAAATCCAAGAGACCACAGTCAAAGAGAAGAAAGGCAGGTGGCCTGGGTTCTAGGAAGCCCCTTGGAGCCCCTTTGCCCTTTTTGGGTTCCCACCCTAAACCCTAAACCCTACTAAACCCTACTAACCCCTAAGCCCGAAGCCCCTAAACCCTAAACCCTAAACCACACTTTCAGGGTGACGCCTTATGTACCAGTAGGGTTTCGAGTTACCCGGCCACCAAGGAGAGACAAGCCAATGGAGTTTGGGTGGCTTCAAAGGCAGTTTCATGGGCCCTTTTAATATGGTCCCTTACCTTCCTTAAGGGTGGGTTTTCTAGGGTATCTAAGGGGTATAACTTAAGGCATTTTCAGGGCCCATACTAAGGGACCCTGAACCCTGAACCCTAAACCCTAAACCCCAAACCCGAAACCTGAAACCCTAAACCCTAATTAAACCCTACTTAAGTAGCAGCTAGAAATCCTGCGTCAGGAGGTGCCGTCGAGGACCTCCCCGTCCAAGGCTGCAGCAGCGACTTGTCTACAGCAGCCCGAAACCCTAAACCCCAAACCGTAAACCCCAAACCCTAAACCCCAAACCCCAAACCGTAAACCCCAAACCCTAAACCCTAAACCCTAAACCCTAAACCCTAAACCCTAAACCCTAAACCCCCTAAACCCTAAACCCTACAGCTCCGGTTTCGCACACAAAGGGAAGTTGAGGCTTGAAGTAGGTTGGGGGCAGAGTTGGGATCATGTACCCTCAACCCCCCTCTCCCCACCTTAGAAGAAGGCCGGCGCCTCAGGGTTAGGGTTTAGAGCTCAGGGTTTAGGGTTTAGGGTTTAGGGTTTAGGGTTTAGGGTATAGGGTAGAGAGTCCTAAACACGCCCCGAGCAGTAGACGCAGACTCTGAAGAAGGCAGTCATCCGATTCCCCTGCGCCGAAGGGTTCGAAAGAGAAATGCCAGGGACCTCATACATCAGGGGTTGTTCTGGGCAGTTCCACGGGCTCTTTGTCTTGCATGGGGCCCTCAACCCTCAACCCTAAACCATAAACACCCTAAACCCTCAGAAAAAGCTTGGCAGGTAAAAAGCGTACTCTGCACCCAAAAATCTGAAACCGAAGTCCCCAAACTCCCTCCCCCGTCAAGGGCCTAACGCTTAAGGCTTCGGTCTTGGGGTTTAGGTTTTTTAACCCTAAACCCTAAACCCTAAACCCTAAACCCTAAACCCCAAACCCTAAACCCTAAACCCCAAACCCCAAACCCCAAAACCTTACTTAGGGTTCAGGGGCACCCCAGGTGGCAGAGAACCCGGCCCTGCAAGAGTGGCGCGAAAGTTTGGAGAAGCACCGGAAGTGGACCGAAGACGAATGGCTTGGCCGCGGCTTGCTTGAACCTTGCAGTTGGGGTTTAGGGTTTAGGGTTTAGGGTTTAGGGTTTAGGGTTTAGGGTTTAGGGTTTAGGGTTTAGGTTTAGGGCTTAGGGTTTAGGGTTTAGGGTTTAGGGTTTAGGGTTTAGGGTTTAGGGTTAGGGTTTCCAAGGCCTACCTTTCTGCAGTCCTCCAAGTAAGGGCGAACGTAAGGTACATGGCTTTGGAAGGGTTGGCAAAGCCAAAAACTTCGAAGTTAATTTACTCCTATACACCTTCTGTTTATCTTAGGCTTGAGGGTGCAGGGTTTGGGGTTTAGGGTTTAGGGTTTAGGACTGAGGACTGAGGGATGCACAAACCCCATGGTTTTTGGTTTTGGGGTTTGTAGGCTTTAGGGATCATATAAGGTAGGGGATTCTTGGTGCCCTTATAGAGTCATCAACCCCACAAAGGGCACCCTCACTATCATGGTAATCAAGAATAATCAAGAATACGCCATACGAACGGAATCCCTATCAAGTATGCACGCGCCCTCAACCCCCTAAACCCTAAACCCTAAACCCTACACCCTCAACCCCCCAAGGCAGGAGGAAACTGTTCACAGAGCGGACCGGCAAGAATCTCGACATCGAGCAGGAGATGGACGTGGAAACCTCGTTCCGAGCTCGGGCTTTTCTTTGGGTTTCGGGTTTAGGGTTTAGGGTTTCTTGGCAGCCAGGTGGTACCCTTCACCCGTATCAAGTAACCAACCAAAACAGGCTGCCCTTATTATAATGTGGTTACTGGGTTTCCTTTGGTTTTCGGGTTTATAGCGTTAGGTTTACGTTCAGCCTTACTTGCACCCGAACCTGCTTTCTTCTGTATGATCCAAGGCCTGATCCCCAAACCCCAAAACCCAAACCCCAAACCCCAAACCCTGAACCCCAAAACCCAAACCCCAAACCACAAACCCTGAACCCCAAACCCCAAACCCTAAACCCTAAACCCTCAACCCC